CTGGACTACGTCCTCGTCCGGAGGCGAGATCAGCGTGACGTGCTGGTGACGAAGGCGATCGCGGGTGCTGATGGGTGGACCGACCATTGCCTCGTCCTCTCGAAGATGCGTATCCGTCTACAGCCTCGCAGGAGACCACAAGGTAAGCGACCCCCAGATAAGCTGAATGTTGCTTTGTTGTCCTTGCCCGCTCATCATCTTCATTTCAGCAATGCGCTAGCTCAACTGCTAGACAACCTTCCAATCGCTGCCGCCGACGACGCCGCCGCTGCCGAGAACGCCTTCGTGGAGAACCGCTGGTGTCGACTGCGAGACACGGTCCAGGCGACGGCGCTCGCCGTCCTCGTTCGCGCTCCCCGCCAACACCAGGACTGGTTCGACGACAACGACACCGCCATCAGAAATCTGCTTACGGAGAAGAACCGCATACACAAAGACTACGTAGATCACTCCACTGAGGACAACAAAGCTGCCTTCTACCGCAGTCGCCGACAGCTTCAGCAACGACTGCGCGAGATGCAGGACGCCTGGACTGCTCGCAAAGCTGAGGAGATCCAAGGCTACGCGGACCGCAAGGAATGGAAGAACTTCTTCTCTGCGATCAAAGCCGTCTACGGTCCGCCGACGAAGGGCACTGCTCCTCTCCTCAGCGCCGACGACAGCACTCTCCTGACTGAGAAGACGCAAATCCTACAGCGATGGGCCGAGCATTTCCGGGGCGTCCTCAACCGCCCTTCCGTCATCTCCGACGCCGCCATCGAACGTTTGCCTCAAGTGGAGACCAACGTGGACCTCGACCTCGCGCCATCTCTCCAGGAAACCGTCAGGGCTGTCCGGAGCGATTCACTCAGATGGTGCGTCAGCTGCACGACGGTATGATGGCGCGAGTCACGGACAACGGATCTGTCTCAGAGACATTCGAAGTGACCAACGGAGTGAAGCAGGGATGCGTGCTGGCACCAACCCTCTTCAGTCTTATGTTCTCTGCCATGCTGATGGAAGCCTACCGCGACGAACGCCCCGAGATCCGCATCGCCTACAGGACGGACGGTCATCTACTGAATCAATGGCGCTTGAACTTCCAATCGCGCGTATCCACAGCCACCGTGCACGAACTCCTCTTCGACGACGTCTGCGCCCTGAACACCACCTCGGAAGAGGAGATGCAACGGAGCATGGACCTATTCTCCGCCGCCTGCGAGAAATTCGGTCTGGTTATTAACACGCAGAAGACGGTGGTGATGCACAACCGCCAACCCACTCAGCCACAGCCCCCAACGAGCCGCCGCAAATCAGCGTGAACGGAACCCAACTGAAAGTGGTGGAGAACTTCCCCTACCTGGGAAGTACCCTATCTCGCAAAACAAAGATCGATGACGAAGTCGCCAACAGGATTTCGAAAGCCAGTCAAGCCTTCGGACGCCTCCAAAGCACAGTTTGGAATCCCCACGGTCTTTAACTGAACACAAAGCTGAAGATGTACAAGGCCGTCATCCTGCCGACGCTAATGTATGGAGCGGAGACTTGGACGGTGTACACGAGGCACGCACGCCGACTGAACCACTTCATCTTAGTTGTCTTCGTAGCATCCTGAGGCTGAACTGGCAGGATCGAATCCCCGACACGGAAGTACTGGAACGAACGGGAATCCTCAGCATCTACGCCATACTGAGACAAATGCAGCTGCGCTGGAGCGGCCACCTGGTGCGCATGGACGACGAGCGACTACCCAAACGACTCTTCTACGGAGACGTCGCGACGGGTTCTCGTCGTCAAGGAGACCAAATTCGCCGTTACAAGGATACTCTGAAGTCCTCCCTGAAGCGTCTGCAAATCAACCCGACCAACTGGGAAGATCTCGCCCGCGATCGTCCGACATGGAGGAGAACAGTGAAGACAGGCGCTGCCATCTACGAAGCCAACCGAATCGCCGCCGCCAAAGTGAAACGAGAAGCCCGAAAATCACAACTTCGCCCAGTCCGCAACGCCGCCGCACAACCTCTCCATACGTGTCCTCGATGTCAACGGACATTCCGGGCTCGAATCGGACTTGTTGGACATCTTCGAACCAACTGTGCCTCTCGAACTGCACCAACCATCGTCCCCACGCCCGCCTCTTCTTCCCCTCCGCCGCAAAATAACTCTGATAAATCTTCTGTACCACCACTTCCACCCATCGCATGGGTCTATTCGGCCGAATGCGCATCCATGAGAGCGGCATTGACCGCAGCCTTGACACACCCACAACGTTAGGCCCCACTCCCAGTTCATCACCTTGTGCACCCACCGACCTCTCCGCAACCGCCGTCGATGCCACCGACTTTTCCACCCTTCACTCCTCCCCTTCCTCCTCCTCTTCCTCCTTCACTGCCACAACGACGGCCGCCTCGGCGTCTGTCGCCCATGACTTCACCACAGCCGCACTTGACACAACAACAGGCACAAGCCGTGCAACCTCCATCATCAGACGTGAGGGCCAGGACTACATCTGCCCTCACTGCGATCGCACCTTCACTTCATGCATCGGCCTGGTCGGTCACTTGGGAATCCATCGCACAGAGACTGGCGAACCAGTGCCTGGAGCACCAACCTACACCCACCGCACTCGCCTCCACTGTCCACACTGCACTCGCACCTTCACACACCGCATGGGTATATTCGGCCACATGCGCATCCACGGGAGCGGAATTGACCACAATTCCGATACACCAACCACGCCCGTCATGCCCAGCACCACCCTCGCACCATCAGTCTGCACCACCACCGACGCCTCCTCTGTAGCTGACACTGACAACGCCGCCTTCACATGCCCACACTGTCCACGCACATTCACCTCACGCATCGGCCTGGTCAGTCACTTGCGAATCCATCGCACAGAGACTGGCGAACCAGTGCCTGGAGCACCAACCTACACCCACCGCACTCGCCTCCACTGCCCACACTGCACTCGCACCTTCACGCATCGCATGGGTCTATTCGGCCACATGCGTATCCACGACGACCTGCGGTAGACAACCTCCGGTTACACCACACATTCACGCACTCCCTACCCTCCTCCACCATCAACAACACACATCAACACTCACCCACCGCATGCACCAACTGCCACCTTCCACGCAAGTGGGAAGTGTGCTCTCGACTCGGTCCCCATGCGGCTTCGGTTGCACGGGTGACTTGAGTCCGAGACTATCCCGACACGTCAAGCGTCGTGGATAGGAAGGTTGCTGTTCGACGCCCGCTCTCGGCTCACGCAGTTCGTCCCGTTGTGTGTGTGTGTTGTGTGGAGTGGCGGACTGGTGGGCTGGGGACGGGCTGAAGCAGCACCTTCCACGGCCCTCTCACGCAAATGGGAGACACGCCGTTCTACCCCCGTTGTGTGAAATCCTGGTGTTTGTGTGTGTATGGGGGGCCAGGTCGTGCTGTAGCGCGCGCAGGCATGGTCAGTCGACCATGTCAGCCACCGCGCCCATTCCCCACTCCAGTTTGCCCACCGGCTCGGACGGCGGTTGGAGTGTGGGAATGGGAAAGGAGAGTGAGGTCGACGACTCAGCGCACTTCCTCCTCACTATAATCAATCTGACGCGCTTGAAGCTATCATGGTGCGCTAAAAGCCGTGGCTTGGAAGGTTGCCAACTGACGGGGTACCTTGGACCTCCTCCTTCACTGGAG